CCCTCCCCTAGATCTGCCACTGCCAATATTAATGACCAGAACATTGAAAAAATCAAACGGAAAAGTGACAAAGTGTTCAAGAATGAGTTAAAAAATACAACAAAGATGCAGTTTATACAAAGAACACTCATTTCCATGATTTAATACCACTAAAGTGCACATAAAAACATCACTTGTAAAAAGTAAATTATAACTGAGTGGGCTCGTCAGTTTCTTAAATTTTTAATCAAATTAAGAATTGCTAAAATATATATATATTGTTATACATGTAAGGCTAGATGCATGTAAATGTGAAAATTTAATATGAACCTTTTACTCATTCAAGAAATAGTATATCAGCCACTGCAATGAACACTGTTAAATACTTTCAATAAAAATGTATACAACATAAAACAATATTGATTCTGCCTGTAAAAACGTTTTCTGAATTATTGCACATTCAACAATACAATAATGATAGAAATTTTCTGTCCCTATCACTAATAAAACAAAACATTGAGACAATGACTTTTGAAAAACTTGTGAAAATACTGCCACCTTTTGCAAACAATATGGGACACCTGTCCCACCAAACAAAAAAGATTTAAATTACCACTTTCACTGCAGTCTGAAAAGGCAGACATATTTCTGGCTGTCAATTATCTCCATCAAAACAATCACATCCAAAGACTCAAAGTAAAATTTAAAGCATATTATACAGAATTAACACTATTTTTAATGATTCGAAAATTCAGAAAGTTTGCAATAACGCATAATTATATAAGTGTTGTGTCAGTCCCATATAATTAAACCTTTTATGTACAGATGAAAATATCTGCATTTCCATTACAAAACAATTTGGAACAATTACTAAGTCAAAAATAATGTTTTGCTATGACAACTTTGAGGCAAGCCAAAACTGTTTTAAACTTGGCTTCATAAAACTGGTAATTAAACAATTATTTATTAACTGGACCACAGTGAATAGGTTTGGCAAAAAACAAATATTGTGCGGTTTTAATTGCTCACCTGGTCTAACAAAGATGAAAGAGTGCTTTTCTTTCTTAATTCTCTAGCCGAATTTTAAAATTTTGAAGCGAAGATGAAAAAAAAAAATTACTGAACCCCTAAGACGGATGTCTTTCTTTTTCTTTTTTGGAGTAAACTACTAAAGGAGAGCCATTGTAATGATAATAAAAACTTATTTCAAAAAGAATATCATTTCGTAACTACCTGAAACCAAGCTTATATCGATCGCTACGCATTGGCCCGAAGTTCAAAAGTCGATTTGCAATAAATCTCTCGTATTTCATAAAGTTCTGATGACCTCCGGACACCTGAAGAGGAGAAACTGAAAATTGTGCCCTTTTATCTATTCAAACGGAAGATTAGACGTGCTGTTGGATTATGCGGCAGAGCGACACAAGTGTGTCAAGTGTTCTAATGAAAACTTTCATCAGCTTTAATGGTTGTGACATATTAAATCGAACCAATGAATTGAAGTTCTTGAAGGTAACTTATACGTATATCAATCATCAATGAAACAAACTTTGTTTACTAAAGAGAAAAAATTATAAAGTTAAAATTCAACGCTGGCAGCAGCACAGTAGGTTAATAAACAGTCTAGCCTTTGGTTTTGAAAAGAATAAGATAGAAAACAGCCTAATTACATGCAACAGACAGAGTCGAAGGAATTTCATTTTCCAGTTAGCTTATCAATTACCCATCCAGATGTACGAATCTGAAATGTAAACTTTACCTTGAAAAATGTCGCAACCAAAGAATATCTTCGATGCTCTGGACAGCCCAGTTTGACTCTGTTCTGGCGGTCGACGAACATCCAGCACTCTTTCCATCTCAAAACAAAAGCTTTCTGGAAGTACATCAAAACCCGCCGCCGGAAAATCAGGAAGTTTAGAGAGTTGTAAAAGAGCAGTTAATCACCAGTGCGATGATGGCACCGAGAGTTCACGTGAAGTCGACAGACCATGGAACGGAATACTCCTTTGCTTAGTTGCGCCATGAAGCCATGTTCAAGATTACTGCAGCTTATGTACGTGTGCGGTAATGGATTTTCTTTTCTTATGGCTTATTGGTGTGTACTTGATTTTCCGTTTCCAACTCAAAACAGTGAACTTCGATCGATCGCCGCTGTTAAGAGTGTGGTCATTCCAATAGACACAGGTCTTTTCGTTTATCACCCAGAAGTCTTTGCGAGCGATATTCGGGACACAGTCGATCCGCGGGAAAGATCCCCCTCCATCTTAGCAATGGGCTCCTGATCTTAGTCATCTTAGGAAAAAACCTCATTCAAACCGCATTCATGCACTGCAGCACCATCACACGCGAAGCTGCGAGAGACGAGTGGGCAAAGGAAGCGAGCCGGCGAAAACGAGAGCCTCTTTTCGTGCCGCCCTCACCAGCCCGTTTCGCGCGCCGACTCATTTCTCATTCCTTCGCATTTGCTCGTGCTGCAAAGCTTGAGAGCCTGCTCACAGGCCAGAAAGGGGTGAAAAAAACATCAATCGAAATCTGAGCAAAAATTGCATTCTCGAATGGCAATTCATCTGACGTGACTGTTGCTGATTCCAGATGACATCAGGAAAGTTCAACAATTTCTGTTATTTTAATTCTGTTCTAGATGTAGAATATTATCCTTGTGTGTTTACAATTAATACACGTGTTGGTTTTCTATGGCCTCACAATTGCTTCATAGGCCACTTTCAAACCCCACTGCATTCCTGCATGATCACAAACTCAAGACTTACTTTGAGAAAGTTCAAATACTGATCAATGGCTTTCTTCTCTTTGGGAAAACTCTTGTACAACGCCTTCTTATATTCATCTTGTCGCCCACCACAGACTGGGTATCTTCTGGCATTCTCTGCATCTCCAATAACCACAGTGTCATACTCCTTTTCAAGAGGAACCCATTGCAGTTGACCCTCTGTTAACTGGTCGGAGAGTAGTCGCATTGATCCATCACAGTCCATCTCACCAATGTAATGAATACCAGTGTCAAACTCATAACCTGCATCACAAACAAAGAGTACAGAACCAACTCAGTGCCTGGCAACAAAATGTAGATTTTCTACTGCAGGTGGGTAGTTTTGCCAGGGGGTAGTCCCCCATGGGCATGTTCAAAACACACAAGGGTGAAAAAGCAATATGGCCAGCCTAAATAGTGTTCCAGTTACAACTGTATTCTAAACACTCAGGTTAGCCTAAATTAAAATATTGCTGCCATGGCAGTGGTCGGCTCTCAATAATTGTAAGGGTTAACCCTTACAGCCACCCATATCCCACATCGACTCGAGATACCCACAATGCTTAATTTCATCGTTCTGCCATTTCTTGATTTAAACACACACATCCTGCAAGAGGTTAGTCCATTATGTATGACAGGTTCTTTTACACCACCTGTTTTTGCTTGAATATGAACGAACAATAATTATACCTTTTTCATAGGCATGTAGCTATTGTCATGTATACTGTAACTGTGTGTTTTGTAACTCTAGCACACTAAGAATCGATCCTTTTCCATTCGATATTTGATTGAAAATTGGAACTTTATAAGTTCTACGCATCATGGTTATCAAAAGAAGGAAATATTATAAAAACCCAGCCACCTCATGCTTATTTTAATTTGTGGCAGGGGAAGGGACGGGAGGTAGGAATGGAGTCAGACCTCTGGAAAAATGTGAATGGGTCCCAACTAGATGTGGTTGGAACCACAAGAAATAAATAAAAAAAAATAAAAAAAATAAAAAAAAAAAAAGGAAATTGTAAAATCGTGCAATGAGGAAGTTGTCACCACAAGAAAGGTGGAAAATAGAACCCTCCCCCTCCCCCTCCCCCCGTGAGACACCCCTTTCCCTTATTTACTTGTGTCGCACTGTTGGTTTTTTTTTTCCTAGAACGAAGTATCATGCGCGCACTGTGTGAATAAGGAAATTTTGCTACTCCTGTTTGGTTGACAACAAAGATATACGCCGCAGAGGCTAGGTATCTTGTACGTGACGCAAGAAGTTAAGTTAAGATTACAAACAGGCTTTACCTTTGTCGATAAACGAATGGCAACAGCCTCCCGCTTGATCGTGTTGTTCTAAAACCAACACCTTCTTCCCGGCCTTTGCCAGAAGGGCTGCAGTGGATAGACCTCCGATACCGCTTCCGATGACGATGGCATCGAGATTCTCGGGAACTTTCCGCGACACGAACCCTTGCTTGAGGACTTTGTCACGCTGTGCCTGGTCCAACACTAGTGGCTCCGCCGACCTACGACAGTCGAAGGCAAGAGGGTTTTCCCCGCGGTTGCTAACCTTTGAACGAATTCTAAAGATGATCAGCGGTATTATCACTGCAACAAAGATTGTCAAGGCTATAGAACTGTAGGATAAATTTGCTATAAAAGACACAAGAAACTCCACAAATTTTTCAACGAGAGCCATATTCTTCGTGGGTTACTCAATCTCGGGACCGCGGGGAATCATGGGCGGGTAAAGAAAAACCCACTTCCAGCATTGCTGACACGAAATTTGGAACGAGACCCGAGACGAGTATTCTACGGAGCCGGGAAGTAAAATTACTCTGAATAAAATATTTTTATTTATTTCCAATAACTCTATTTCATAGTTTGATAAGTTTTCCTCCCTTAGGTTTGGTTGTCAGCTTAATTTGGACAAATAAAGTTGTTGTAACAAAATAACAATATTTTCTTCTGAGTCAATTTACTTCTCTGTTCGACGTTCCGCTGAATAATAGTTTCGGGTTTCATTCCAAATGGAATGTTTTTCCGCGTCAGGGCGGTGGGAAGTGCAGAGAGAATTTTAAGTTCTTTCCTGTTGGAACTCTCTTTGCAACTTGTGAATATTATTTTAATGCATTTTAAGTTAAGTTGTTCAGGAGCCCATCACCTGAACAAAATTTTTATAATGTATATATTGTTTTTTCTTCAAACTCATTTTTGGTCTGGTTTCATTCCAAATTTAAAATTTCGGCGTCAGGGCGATGGGAAGTGCGGTCAAAATTTTAAGCTCTTCCCTGTTGACATCATCTTTACAAACTTGTGAATATCATTATTTATTACAAATAAAGCCAATTACGTCATCGCAGACCCAGACCTCTCCATCGAGCCCAAGTTCACCGTGAGTGAAAATGAGGTCGCTGAAAGAGAGATTTTGTTACTGAACAGAGTAACGAAATGAAGAGTAATGACTGACGAAGTAACGAGAAACTGAGAAACGGGGAAAAAATTCCGTACTGCGGCGGATCACCGACCATGGGAAGTTATCATCTTCGTCAGATCTATCATCTGACGGTCAGCAATGGTTGAATAACTTAACCCCGTCTTCAGAGCAGACATCAACCTACGATAAAGTGAAGAAACAAGTCTTTTCGGCTGTTTCCAGGGTTACTATTTTGAGAAATCATATATTTCACCTGTCAGGCCGGAAGGTCTCGCACTACTTCTTGACTGAGTGAAAAGAACTTTAAATATAGCCAATCCAAACTATGAATAAGTTTAAGTGTTTTACATAGAACTTATCAGAGAATTTTTCTCACGTTGTTTCAGTCGCAGAAAGATTTCTCTACATGAAAAAAAATACAACCAAGCACAGGCGCAACGGACTAGTATTCCATCCAGTTTAGGGAGGGGGTGGGGTGGGTGTAGTAGCCACACTACTTGACACTTGTACTTGAAACGCTTCATCTGTCATAAGTTTAGTTTTTAATTGCTAAGTCCAGGAGCCTTATACCTTGTGCCTTTGAAAGAAATAAAGAATTGCTGAAACGAATATGTAATATCCCCGGTCATGCGCAGTCTCGTCGACAGCCAGTCTCGCTTTTCTTTTTTCTTGCCAAAGCTCACATAGAATTTTTCTATCGTGCATAGATACGCCGTGTAAAAATATCCTTATATACATGTACCATCATGGATGCTTGTGTAACATCAAATCGCTTTGGCCGAAAGTCGAGCGATTTGACTTCGTGGGATTCTCCGTTCGCCGGACTACGTGTGTCTAACACTTGTGGCAACGGCATGTCTCCATCTCCCGTTTTAAGTGTGATGCGGCCAAAAGCGAGATAAAAAAAAAAATGCACCAGGATATTTAGAAACTAACGCCAAGGGAATTAAGAGGCAATCAGTGGTCTCTGAAGTAATATTTTGCGTGTTACGTAAACGATGCAATGAAAACTTTATTACGCTGATTTGGTTCTTTACAAAACTTATTATTAATTCCTTGCTATGCGCGAGAAATTCATACATTTGATAATGAAATTCAAAATTAACGACGCAGTTTCCTTTGTCCATGCGCACCTTAGCCAAATTACATTTTCAAATTTCTCAACCGACGTTTAGTTCAATTTGAGCTGTATCCACTTCGCGTCAGGTTTGCTGACCTTTACCAATGCGAGCGAAGATTTAAAAGGATACTGCGAGATTTGGTTAGACATTGAGCAAGATCGCCATTTCACGTGAACAAGTTTCTTGAAGCCATAAGACTGAAAGATCGCTTGAGAAGATGGCAACGTTCCTTCAAACGGTTTGATTCAAGCATTACTGGGCTCTGTGGTTCTCACCACTCAGGACATTTCAGAACTGTACTGTACCGAAATCTTTTGTGGCAACCGAAAAACAGGATAAACGGTGCTGAACGATGTAATACGCCTTACAATTCCTTCTTCACCGTTGCTTGTGAGACATTTAGATACAGTTACCATGTTGAAGTATGCGGAGACAAATAAGAGAGGAATGCAATTTGAGAAAACATTCAAGTGGGGTGGCAAGCGGAAAAGTCTTTCCTGAGAACAACCCGGCTGTGAACAATTCGGGTAACGATAGGACAAGTAAATAAGGACATAGGTATCGACTTGTTTCTTAGAAAAATCCGAGATCTGCGCTAAAACAAGATAATAAAACGTCTATTTTGAAATCGGAATGATCGCAAACGGCAATCACGCATTCCTAAGCTGGGTGGAGAGTTTCGCGCGCTCCTCTTAGTGCTTGTTTTACTTTCACGTCCAGAGGTGTGGTTTCAGTCGAGAAGTCGACTAGTCATTCCGTGCTCGCAAGTTGGAAACCTATCCTGTTGGACACAGCACGCAGGTATCACAACTTTCATCTACGTGTGAGCAAAAGCCCATAGGCAAAATACTTCATATTTACACAAGCGAACCGCGTGAACCGCCAAAATGGCCGCTCTCAACTTTCGAGGTCTTCGAGAAACTCGTACCCAGGCTCTCTATGTAATAGGCCAAAAGTTTACATCTCCACATTTGCATTATTCTGCCCCATAACAATCGTCGTGTCTACGCTTCGCGTATCCACGACTAAAAATGAACGCGACAAAGGACTTTTTAAAATTTTAATTCAAAGGTACATTTTCATTCACCATTCGTCCCCTCGTGCACTTTTCAATTGGCGTCTTCAGTCAAATATAAATTATTTTGAACTGAAGAACCTCGCGTTTGGTTTACATCTGAGTAAGTGACACACTTGCATATTCTGCCCCAAACAATCGTCATTTCTACGCTTCGCGTATCCACGACTACAAATGACGCGACAAACAATTTTTTTTTT